GAGTTCAGGTCCTGATGGAGCCAGACTGTTTAAAAAAAAAAAAATGATCTTTGCTGCCAGGTTGACCCAGCCTTAAAGGGGTAGAAGGAAAAGTCGTGGGAAGTAAAGGCAGCAACACCCACAGAGACCGATTTGTCTATAAAATTTAGTTTTGGCTGTGTATGCTAATAGGCCTGAAGTTGTGGGAAGGGTTCTTTAATGTGTTTGTTTGTTAACTTTACTGCTGTTTTCAGTAGCTAAATTTGTCATTGATGATAATCCGTTAATTTGTTAATAAACCTTGTTTGCCTCCTCCAGCTTTGACTTCTGCGTGCCAGATAAAGATGTTGCCAATTCACCGACAGAGAATCTTGGCCAGGTTGTCTTTGGTGAGAGGATTAGGCCTTCTCTCTATCAGGTCAGTAAACGTGGACCTGTGTTTAAAATTTCATTTAACAATATGAATAAAACCTTAATCATCACCCAGTTTGATCATTAGTTGGTAGTAGGCTAGGCAAACGTCAGTCTCTGGGGACCATAGAGTTGTGCAGCAGGGTTAGGGAACAAGCTGTAAAGTCCAGTTTGGGAGTGACAGTCTCACATAAAAAAAAGTAAAGATCCCTTCTCACACCTTTAGGCGCATTGGGCATATGGGAAGAGCGCCCACATTTTTACAGACCAGTCTGCATTAGTTGGGTAATGGCGTCAGCATTATGCCGTCCGTCTTTACTTCCCCAGGACATACATCCACCTGCGACACCTCATGCCACGATAAAAAAAATCCCAGCAGCCAACTGTGGGTTTTGATTGCGGTACGTTGAAATTACGAGTCGGGCTCGCAAAGCTTAAGCCACAGATGATGCAGTCTCACATAGTCCACATACAAACATTGATACTCTGTCATTCTGAGGCTGGCTTTCTCTCAGATGTCTCGTATCTATGTAGCTTGCTGTAGTTGGCTTATTTCAAACTGAGACCGTCTGTCTTTCAGTGCCTGCCTCTAAAGCAGTCGGTCTGCGGCTGATCTCTCACAAGTTTTTGTGACCATCCCCTAGAGTGAGTGAAGACTGGTGCCTTTATCAGTGCCCTACAAATCTTCTTTTGCTAATCAAACTAAATAAAGCTTTGAGTATCAGCCAGTTGATCACCCCTTGGCCTGAGTTGACATTGGCATCTTCATTGCTGCTGCTAAATCTTGTTTTGGTAATCACACTGCCCATCAATTGGAAAATTGCTTCTTCTTCTTCCTCATCCTCCTCCTTCTCTGCTTCTTCTTCTTCTTCTTCTTCTTCTTCTTCTTCTTCTTCTTCTTCTTCTTCTTCTTCTTCTCTTCTTCTTCTTCTTTGTCTACTTCTTCTTCCCCCTCCTCCTCCTGCTGTTATCATTATTATTTTTCTGCTGCTGCTTCTTCCTTTTCTTCAGTGTCCATCTTTCTCTCCTCCCTCTCCATATCTCTTCTCCTCTTGCTCTGCCTCTCCCCTCCCGTATCCATCTTTCTCTCCCGTCTCCCTGACCATCTCTTCTCCTCTTGCCCTGCCTCTCCTCTCCCCATACTCTTTCCAACCCTCTCATAATTAAAATATTATTGACTCTGGGACTTTTAGCTGAAGTTTGCAGAAAATGCAGCGTGCAAGGTGGTCTGTGAGAAGACATACAAGCCTGGAGACAAAAGCCAGCTGGAGAAACTGACTTTCTTGAAGAGAGGCATCAGCCTCAACTACCAGCATCACTGGTGAGAGTTGTTGTTTGTGCTGGTATTTTTTGTCTATGAGTCTACAAGCACACCGCTAGCTGCTTTATGAATACAGTTTTAACCTCTCTGTCATTTGACATTCTCTCATGAGGCCTAGCAAGTGGCCTGCCGATCATTGCCAGCTGTGTTGCATAATTAACTTTTTACTGAGGCTTGAAGTTTTTCTGTTGACCAACCTGGGCTCTATAGTTCTTGCTTCTTTTAGCAAAGCCTTGTGTAGTTTGAGGAGTTGAGGAAGCATAATGGCTGGATGCTAATTTGCTAGCCTGGTGCCCCGTGTGGGTTCCGGGGCCCCATCGTGGGGAAAACAAGAATAGACCCTCTGCCTACCCAAACGCATGTCGTAAGAGTCGACTAATTGGGGAGCTTTCTTTGAAGTCGGAGTGCATCTGCCTGTGAGGCAAGGAACCAACAGTCTGGTTCAAGTGAATCAGATCTGTAAAACTGATGCACACGCAACACTCATGTTCTGGAGCAGGACTGCAGTTCAGAAGTGGACGAGCAACCAGAACTTTCCACCAGAGTGTACAGCTAGCTGGTGAACGCGAAGAAGAAGACGAAGCTTCAGAGGTTTCCCCATGTGGTTTCGGCGGCCATGTTGTGGGGAAAACAAGATTAGTCCCACTGCCTCCCCAACAAGCATGTTGTAAGAGTGGACTAATTGGGGGATTTCTTTAAAGTCGGAGCACGTCTGCCGGAAAGACAGTAAACCAGTAGTCTGCTTGCAAATAACCTAGATCTGTAAAATGGATGCGCACACATCACTCATGTTCTGGAACAAAAGTCCAGAAGTGGACGAACAGCCAGAAATTGCCGATGGATTTTACAGCCGATGAACAAGAATAATAAGCTTCAGATGTCTAGGGAAGTTGGATATTTTCTCCAGGACATGCAGGTGTGGTGGAAAATGAACAGGCAGAGATACTGGCTGCTTCTGCACAACTCAGTGGTAAACAGATACATGACAAGCTAAATGTTGTCAAGCTCTGGCTGACACTCCATACTTGGAGGAACGGCAAGACGGGACATGCAGTCAGACTGCTACTGGTACCATCGAAGTTGAAACTCTTTGCTGGCTGCTGAAGATGGGTCTTGATGGGAATGTCTACAGTCACAGGTTAACTCTGTCTATGTTTCAGGATTGTGGACAACATGCCCATCACATGGTGCTACAAGGTGGAGAGTGGGGACAAGTTCTGCTCCACTGGGTTCCCTGTGGGCTGCTACGTCACCAAGCTGGGCAAGAGGAAGGACACCTGTGTCACACTGGTATGTTGGGGTGTCATGTTGGGGTGCCATTTTGTGTGTCATGTTGGGGTGCCATTTTGTGTGTCATGTTGGGGTGCCATTTTGTGTGTCATGTTTGGGTGCCATTTTGTTTGGTGTGTAGTGTGTCATGTTGGATGCAATTTTGTGTGCCATGTTGGGTGCCATATTGTTTGGCGTGTAGTGTGTCATGTTGGATGCAATTTTGTGTGCCATGTTGAGTGCCATATTGTTTGGCGTGTAGTGTGTCATGTTGGATGCAATTTTGTGTGTCATGTTGGGTGCCATATTGTTTGGCGTGTAGTGTGTCATGTTGGATGCAATTTTGTGTGTCATGTTGGGTGCCATATTGTTTGGCGTGTAGTGTGTCATGTTGGATGCGATTTTGTGTGTCATGTAAACTCTATGGACTACTGAATGAATTAACAACAGTGAAATTTATACAAGAGACAAAATTGCTGATATAGGCAACTTTTTTCAGGCGAACGAAAGAAGAATTGTGTCATGTTTGGTGCCATTTTGTTTAGCGTGTTGGGTGCCATTTTGTGTGTCAAACTGGTATGTTCTTTCTTCTTCGTGTTCACCAGCTGTAAACTCTGGCTGAAGGTTCTGGTTGTTTGTCCGCTTCTAGATTTTGGTCTCATTCCAGAACTTGAGCTTTGCCTGCACATTCGTTTTACAGATCTGACGTATTTCAAGGCAGACTGTTGGTTCCCCACCTCTCTAGCAGATACACTCCTACTTTAGAGGAAACCCCTCTGTATAGTCTTTTATGACATGCTTTTTGGGGGGGGCACTGGGTCAGTTACTTTTCTCCCAAAATATGATCCCTAAAACCGTACAGGGATGTTGTCATTGTGTCTGTCACATTGGTATGTTGATATGGTACATTGGGTGTGTTTGGTGACACAGTGGTATGTTGGGTATATGTTTGAAAACAGAGAGCCTGGCGTACATCGTCACAAGATCCAGAATGAGAATGGAGGTGGAGGCAGTCACTGCAGCTTTCTGATGGCTTGAGAGCAGCATAGCTCTACATGATCATAATTTGTAGTGGACTCACAGTGTGCTTCAAAAAATTGAAACTTGATAACTCAGATCAGGTGCATATCATGGATTTTCTCTCCAGGAGATTCAGGTGTGTGGGTTACTGAGCAGGCTGATAGATTGGCTACTTTATGGTAAAGTGCGGGCATGGTGAAGGCTCTCAGGGTTCAAATGGACACTGCAATAGAAGGAACAGAGATACTGAACATTGAAAAATTAAGTCAACATGCAATGAGTAGACGTTCTGCAAGAACACTGAGGGCGAAAAAATTGGCGGATTTTCCATCAAGTTTCAGCTGGTGCTGTCCGCATGTCGACTCCTCGTTGGTGACTGAGGAAGGAGACGGAGCACGTGTGGGAGTGTTCTGAGTGCAGTGACATCAGTTTTTGATTGATTGATTCATTCATTTTGTCTGTCACATTGGTATGCTGGATGTCACACTGGTATTTTGGGTGTCACTATATATGTCACACTGGTATGTTGGGTGTCATTTTGTATGTGACACCGGTATGTTGGATGCTTTTTTGGTCTGTCACACTGGCATGTTGTTTGTTGTTTAGTCGGTCGGACTGATATATAGGGTGTTGTTTTGTGCGCCACATGAATGTACTGGTATCCCCACCTGGCTTGCTGTTTGGTATCTTCATGAATTGTGTGTCAGGTGATATGCCATTTGTTATATTGTTTTCCAACCTGATTTGTTGTGTACTGAATTAATAAGTTGTGTGTTACATTTCTGTATTGTGTAAAATAGTTACTTAGTCGATTGTCTTCTGCCCTGGGCCGTAGAGGTTTGCTAGAGAGATTCATACTTTTCTATCAGCAGTTTTCCTTTTGGCCTTGTTCCATTCTAGTCCTCTTTCAGTTAGGGACTGTCAGATGTTGTCTTCTCAGCGAACCCTAGGTCGTCCTGGTGGTCTGTTTCCCTGATTTTTGGCCTGCCTTGGTGGCCGATTCTCTGCCACTCTGCATAAATTGCCATATCGTAACTGTGATGATCCACTCAAGTTTGTAAGGCCTGGGTTTCAAGATCCTGACGTATCGTTGGTTTGTGAACTGTGTCCCTTTTGGTTGCTAGGACCACCTTTCTCAGATGGCTCACATCAGAGGCCTGAAGCTGGCTTCACATGTTCTGTATTGCGTAAAATATGATTTAAAATCATACATTTCTTGTCAATTCGCGGTGTCCGTGGCATAGGCATTGCGAGTCCGACTTGTAATTCCAACATACTGCTGTCGAAACACACTGCTGGCCACGTGGAATTTTATCATGGTATGGGGCGTCGCAGGTCCACCCAGCCTAAAATGGGTACCAGGATGTATGTCCTGGAGAAGTAAAGACGGATAGAGTAATGCTGACCACATTACCCACCTAGTGTCGATTGGTCTGTAAAAATATGGCTTCTCTTTCCGTATGCCCGATGTGTCTAAGGTGTGAAAAGAGATCTTTACTTACTTTTTACTTTTTATTTCTTGTCAATCTGCAGGCTGATTTCAAGACTCCAAACACGTACTATTTATACAACCATGTTGACATTGTCATCGAGTATCATCCTTTAAGCCAGGATGATTTGGGACAACAGCACACTGGCGTTGGAGGACGGATTGTGGCCGCAAAGTTGACCCCAAGGAGGTACTTGGATAAATGTGAAGAGGCAACTCTGTCTCATTATTATATAGTATATGACAAGACCCCCCCCCTTTTTTTTCCTGCCCCCCCCCCCCCCCCCCTCTTTCCCACACCAAAATGGGATTAAAAAGAGGAAAAAAAATGAAACCTAAGCAATGTTTCCCCGTTGTGAATTTGATTTGAACAAAGAAGACACAAACAATAGATTGTACAGTCTATTGCCTGGCATATTTCGCTGTTTCTCGTCAGGTGCAACCTACAGTAACAATTACATCAATGAAGCAGATAAGTGAATCCTTTTTAACTGAAGTAGAAATTCAATAACAGTCAAATGCAACTGCCAGTTTTACCAGGGCAGCCTCAGTGTCAGAACCATATCTTTCTGTATACAGAGTTCTGGGCGCAGGAATAGTGGCAGCTTCAAGAAATCTTTCATTCTGCCATTGGCTAACCTGTGAAGGATTTGAAATGCGTTGTTCTTTTTAGGGTGTATCCAGATTTTAGATGATTGCCTTCTATTGCAGAGGGATGATCTTTACAGCCGGTATTCTCATTTTGAATATTATATTGCATGGCTTTCTTCACCCATACTGGAATGTGCTCAGCGACTCATTTCTCCAGGTGTTGATCAGTTCTGCCCACATAAGCAGCTTCGGTTCTTAATTTATAACGTACCCCAACCACGAAATTCCCGTGGGAAATCCACAGCTGACCTGACAATCCATTATTTCAAGGGGTGCAAGTGTGCTGTTGTGTGGTGCTGTTTTTGAGTGTTCATCTAGTGTCTTCTAACCCTAACCCTAAACTTGGCTGTAGATAAATCGCGAGAAACTACAACCTGAAAACCCTAGAATTTATTGGGAATGTCTCCCGTGACGTAGACGTGACGTCAGGGGTAAGTTATAAATTAAGTACCGCAGCTTCACTTCTCCATTTAAATTAGTAGATACAATTTATTTTGCGTACATTGACACTGGTTGTTTTACCGAGGGCGTAGGAATTAAGGTGGTTTTAAATCTGATAACAGGTATGGCTGCATAGAAAGTCTGACTGACTGCACCACAATAGTACGCCATCTTCTAAAATCTAGACATACCATAACCAAGGGCAAGGCATTTCAAATCCTTCACACGTCAGCCAATTGCAGAATCAAAGATTTCTCAAAGTTGCCGTGATTTGTCACCTGCGCCCTGAACTCTGTAAACAGAAAGATATGGTTCTGTCATTGAGGCTGCTCTTGTAAAACAGACAGTTGTGTTTGATCGTTGTTGAAGTTGTACTTCAATTATAAAGGATTTACTTATCTGCTTTATTTATGTAATTGTTACTGTAGTATGCACCTGACGAGATACAGCGAAATATGTCAGGCAAGACAAAAAAGATCCACATAAAACAGTGTTGAATAACAAACAAAACAGTCAGAATGTTTTATTAATCTATAATTTAATGTACGTGTTATATTAATTAGAATGGTAATGGTAGAAATGCAAACTGTTTATGAAAACACATTTTTTAAAAAGTTTTACAAATATTTAATTTATAATTAAACAGAAGGAAAAAATGGATTAATACGAGAATAAATGAACTTTCAAAATTGCTTGACCCCTCCCTTGCAGTTCCCTGGCGCCCTCCAGGTTGGAGGCCACTGGTTGGACAGATCTGACTTATTTGTATGCAGACTGTTGGTTTCTCACTTCTCATGCAGAAGCACTTGGATTTTGAAGGAAACAGACAGGGATTTTTGGAGATATTTGGAGGAGGAGGAACAAAAATAGAACTTTACTGAGCATTGACTCATTTTGGGTTGTCTTAAGAATTGTTTTGATACTTTAACACAGCGGCTCTCAAATTTTTTCCGCCACGGCACTCTTGTCTGGATTTTTTTTTCGCAGTGCACCTACCCTTAAAGTGGTTTGAATACTTAGGAAAAGAAGACAAAACAGTGCACATTTAATGTTCAGTTCTCTTTAATGCGATGAATGAAACTGTTTGGAGGAATTTTTCATTACTTCCTTTAAGAATATGGGAATTTTAGTTTATTTCACTTGACCAAGAAAGTTTAACCCTAAATCTGTTTTTTAAAAAAAATAAAAATGTAAGCGTGCGTTGAGAATGCACTGCAGCCGTGCCAATAGCATTGTCTCCTGAATACACCTGCATCCAGGAACTCTTCTTGTCTTCCTTCATGGTATTTCTGTTTTAAACCGCTGTCTTCGCTGATCTCAAGCAGATTATAAAAATTCTTCATTATTGTCTCGGCACCCCTGGCATACGCTGGCGGCAACCCTGGGTGCCGAGACACCCAGTTTGAGAACTGCTGCTTTAACATTTTCCCTGTTTGGTTTATCATTTAACATAACATAACCCTTGACCCATTAGGATCGTGGAGGTGTATCAATGGAAGCACTAGTGAACAAAACCCGCCATCTGTCTATCTTCTGCTTGGTGAATTAGTGTGTGATAACTTAGTTCTGTCCATTTATTAGTGATGTCATTCCAGGTTCTTCTTTGCCCTCCTCTTCTTCGACTACCCCCCAATGTTCCTTGAAGCACAGTCTTCGCAATCGAATCATGTCTCACCACATGCCCGAACCAAGCTGGCTTACAACATTTCACCTTTGCCAAGAGAGGCTCCTGATGTCCCGCAAATTTGTATATTTTTTCTCTGACATATTTATTAGTTATGTGTACTAAATAAATAATTCGTAAAATGCGTCTGTAAGATTTACATTGAAAAGCCTGAATCCTCCTTTCCATTTTCACAGTGAGAGTCCAACTCTCACATCCGTATTAGAAAATAGACAATACCAGTGATTTATTTATATTGACCTTAACTGCGATGCTATCAGTTAACCTGCTTTTGTTTTGACAGCATCGACAACGGAAATAAGAAGAATGAAGAGTCGTGTGGCAGCAACCTTCCAGTTCTGGGGGTTCCAGGAGACTTATCTAATGAAATCAAATTCAAATACACATACAGTGTGACGTGGAAGGTAGGAGCTTGTCTTTTCTGGCTGATGTGCCTTTGGTAGGGCTGCAATGAAGCTCTTCTAGCTACAGTGAAAAAGATAGAAAATACAGAGGTATGGACGTGTAATAAGATCTTACGGCCTCTCAAAAACAATACTATAGGACTCGGCAGTAGGAGAAGAGACAGAACACCGAAGACTTGGACACAGAACTTGACTGATTGGGCAGGCCTTTGTCATGCAGCCTTGAAATCCATTGCAGCTGGGAGGAAAAAGAATCGACCCAATGCCTCCCTAACAAGCATGTCGTATAAGGCGACCAATTAGGGGTCGGAGTGCATCTGCCTGAGAAGCAAGGAATGAACAGTCTGCATATAAATAAGCTATATCTATAAATATTTGTATTTTGCAACTGGCTTCTTAAGAAGCAGTGGGCCTATTCTTTTCCCCAAATGAGGCTTCAGAACCCAAACGGGGATTGGTCCCCATATTCTCCTTCTTCTTTGTGATTGGTTTCGTATGCTCAGATCAGACCATCAGGTGGGTTGCCTCGCATGTCAGTTGCAGGTCCTTCATGGCTCCCCATAGCTTGTTCTGCACACTTTGCTCTTGAGGCCAGGTTTCTTTTCGAAGTTGAAGGTATAGTGAGCAGGTCTGCAGAATGTGTTCAGGTGTTTGTGGCCCTCGTCTGACAGGCACATGATGCAAGTGGTAGTTAAGCCTGCCGTGTCCTGTCCACATATAACTTGCAAGTCTTGGCAGTAACCTTACTGTGATAATAACAAACTCTGTTCACAGGTCCAGATTGCCTGAACATTGGTATATTGGAGTTAATGCTCTGTCTTCCAACTTGGCACCTCCAACTTCATAGCAAATGGGTCACTTCATAATTGCTCTGTTTCTGTGCCAACTAAAACTACCCAGAATGTCTTTCAATGTCACTTAGGAAAATATTGACACAGACTGCAGTCTCGGCAAATCCAGAAGTATACATGCATTAATTGCGTCAGAAGTGCAAAAGAAACAGTCCGGTGCCAGAACTGCAGTTTGTTGACAGCGTAAGCAGCAGCAATGAAAATGTACAATTTTTATGCATGTATAACCTGAAAATGGTTGGGGAAAGGTTCGGCTTACATTCCAGCTTTTAGGCCTACATTTCACTTGTACAGAATTGATTAATAAACAGTAAAACGGTTGTTTAGTCGTCCATCTTTTCTCTTGCACTCTTACAATATTTCAGGTGGTAGCTTCTCTTTAGCCTTAGATCTACGTGTAAAAATGATGTAAGCTGGGAGTTTATGTCCCGTAGCAGTGATACCTAGCATTACCGTACACCACTGGTTGTCTGCTCGTGAAGTTGGCATGTGCACTGTTGTTTCCCCTGGCTTGTCAGAGAACACAGGAGTTTCATCTGCATCTCCAGTTGCCCCCATACTGCAGTTGTGTGTCTTCTGTAGTTGTGTGTCTTCCTTAGAACATGTCCTTGAAACACAGTTTCTCCTGCTAGACGTCAGGAAATCGCTGTACCATTGTTGTCCGCCGCCAGATCACCGGGTCATTTCATGCCATAAAGCGCCTTGACCCCCTCCCCCCCACCTAAATGGGATGTAAATTCACCCTGAATTCACCCGTCTTTCACTGTTTTGGTTTTGGACTCATCACAAGATTCTGATAACATAATTTTTTAAACAAAAATTATCGTTTGAGAAACTGGGTGCGGACTGTACATGTGTAAATACAGAAATTAATTGCATAAGGCGCCAATATTTTTAAGACAACAGATGACTCGCATTTCCAGAACCTGCAGTTGACACTATACCATATTGGCCTCAGTTAAAAAGCATTTCAAATGAAATTTGTGGCTTATATTGTCATGATGTGCAGTCAGCTCAGTAGCTAGGCGATGGAACTATACACTTTCAGTCCATACATTTATGGGGAAAATGCAATGGCTAACCTTAATTAGAAGCAAATAACTTGCTACAACTAAAAAAAAGCCAACCTGTCCACCATATTGGGACCGGAAGCTTCTTTCCCAGCAGATTCAGATTCACAACCAACCCACCTTCATGCAGGTAAAGCTGTGATGTTTCATTGTTAGTGTGTTGTCTGAATTTGGTTTTATTTGCTTTATAATGGCAATTCATTCTCTTTGTCTTTTTTTTTTTTTTTTTATAGGAGAACGTCAACATCAAGTGGACCTCTCGCTGGGACTACATCTTGGAATCTATGCCCCACACAAACATCCAGTGGTTTAGGTGAGTAGGCTGTGGGTCTCGATGGTGGTTGGGGGGGGGGGGGAAGGGGGGGGGGGACATAAAAAAAAAGAGGGTGAGCGGGTATAGAAAGAAGGAGGGAGGGGTAGAGGGGAAAAAGGAGAGAAGTGAGGAGTGGAGAGGCAGAAAGGACAGGAGACGAAGAGGGAGAGATGAAAGCAATGAGAAATAAGAAACATACCATATTTGTTGCATGTAAAGGACAGCATGTTTTCCAAAATTTTATAAGTGTAAATTATATCTTATATACGGAATGTGTTTGAAATTATGATTTCCTAATTGTGGGGTTTAAAAAAAATAATGATAGTCTTATTCATGGGGGAACGTCCTTAGAATAAAGAAAAAGAGACAGCCGAGACAGGCAGTGCAATAGACGCTACAAGGACAGCGAGGAAGAGGCAGGCCCAGGGGTACTTGGAGGCGAATTTTGAGCGGAACTCAAGGCTACACGAAGGACAAAACTGGAGCTAGAGCTCAGGATCGAATTGAGTGGTGGCAGTTTGTTACTGCCTTCTGTGCCTCTGGGCGCGATGAGGATTGATTGATTTTACATGGGGTCAACTTGTGCAGGGAAAAACTTATATGTACTCACATAAATATGTATATACAGAAATAATCAGAAGAAAGAAGAGGGATACAAAGTGAGAGAAAGGCAGAGCTTGCATCCACAATGTTGAATGTATGATTGAATTGTTTGTGCAATGGTTACAGCATCATGAACTCTCTGGTGATCGTCGTCTTCCTCTCTGGGATGGTGGCCATGATCATGCTGCGGACACTGCACAAGGACATCGCTCGATACAACCAGATGGACAGCATGGTATGTTGTCCTGTTTGTTGTTTTAGATGTTGTTCCAGGAATGAGTCAAGCTCGATGTTTCTTCTTCTGAATTTTGACTGGCTGTAAACTCTGGCGAAAAGTTTAGGTTGTTGGTTCACTTTTGGACTTTGCTTCTTACTCTAGAACTTGAGTGTTGGCATGCACATCCATTTGACAGATCTGGCTTATTCGTATGCAGACTGATGGTTCCTTGTCTCGGGCAGATGCTCTCTGACTTTGAAGAAAATAGCCTCTAATTAGTCGCCTCCTGCGTCGTGCTGGTTAATAGATGGAGGCAGTGGGTCAGTTATTTGTCTCCCCAGACTGAGGTCCAGGAACCCACAGACAGGATGATGTTGGCTCTGATTTATGTAGATGGGTAGGCTCAGTTACACAAGGACATTACTCATTAAGCCACGTAATCTGGTCAGGTAATCTGCAGTTCCAACTTCGCAGCAGACGGGTCACCCTATGGTTGCTCCGTTCCTGTGAAAAACCACACAGAATGCCAATCATTGTCCCTGGTGACAAGAAATGGACACAGTCTTCTTAAATCTAATAGTAATACACACACATTAAATTGTTTCTCTTAGGGCAAATAAGTTGACCAGGTTTTACTGCCATAAAGCAGAGTGCTGAGAACACAAGCCTCAATGACAAGAGTTTTTGTATTGTGAGTTTTCTCTTCTGACAACTTAGTGGCCAGGTGCTTATTTCTCTAACCATGACACTGCCAGCTTAAGACAACCAGGCGAAAGCAGGATTGGGTCCCACAGTTCAAACAGGTCTAGACTTAGCTGCTTTTTAATAGACCTGGCAACCAAGCTTTGGGAAAAACCTACAAGACCATGAGCTGACATCCCAGTTTATGGCACATGGGGGAATCAAGCGCTTGATGAATGATCGCTGAAGAGGAGTACGAAGAGTACTTTTCCTTGTGAATTCTTGGGTGAATGGTTGAATAATAAAATGGAAGATTCATTTTCAGTGGGCATTCCTGGGTGAATAATGGGAAAAAATTTGGGTGTAAAAAAATTGTGAACTCTGGTTAAAATTGCGAATTTTTGGGTGAATAGTTTATTAAAAGAGATTTGATTTCTGTGTGAATTCTTGAGTGAATAGTTGAACAAAATAATGAGAGGTTTATTTTCAATATGAATTCTTGGGTGAGTTCATAAAAATAATGAGAAGTTTGTTTTCAATATGAATTCTTGGGTGAATAGTTGAATGAACAAATGAAAGGTTTATTTCCATTGGAAATTGTGTGTGAATAGTTGAATAATATACTACAAGGTTTATTTTCCTTGTGACGTCCTGTGCACTAAATGATTGATTATAAACTGAGAGGAGAGGTTTGTCTAACGGCGTAAATTCTGGTCCCGCAGGAGGATGCCCAAGAGGAGTTTGGCTGGAAGCTGGTTCATGGGGACGTGTTCAGACCCCCCAGAAAGGGAATGTTTCTGTCCGTACTTGTTGGCAACGGTGCTCAGTTGTTTTTCATGACTTTGATAACTTTAGGTGAGGTTTGTTGTGTACACTCTCTGTGGGGTGTGTGGTACTTTAGGTGAGGTTTGTTGTGTACTCTCTCTGTGGGATGTGTGTGCTACTTTAGGTGAGGTTTGTTGTGTACACTCTGTATGACGTGTGTGCTACTTTAGGTGAGGTTGGTTGTGTACTCTCTCTGTGGGGTGTGTGGTACTTTAGATGAGGTTTGTTGTGTACTCTCTCTGTGGGGTGTGTGGTACTTTAGGTGAGGTTGGTTGTGTACTCTCTCTGTGGGGTGTGTGGTACTTTAGGTGAGGTTGGTTGTGTACTCTCTCTGTGGGGTGTGTGGTACTTTAGGTGAGGTTTGTTTACTCTCTTTGTGGGGTGTGTGGTACTTTAGGTGAGGTTTGTTGTGTACTCTCTCTGTGGGGTGTGTGGTACTTTAGGTGAGGTTTGTTGTGTTCACTCTCTGTGGGCTGTGTGCTATTTTAGGCGAGGTTTGTTGTATTCTCTCTCTGGGGTGTGTGGTACTTTAGGTGAGGTTTGTTGTTCTCTCTCTGTGGGGTGTGTGCTATTTTAGGTGAGGTTTTTTGTGTACTCTCTCTGTGGGGTGTGTGGTACTTTAGGTGAGGTTTGTTGTGTTCTCTCTCTGTGGGGTGTGTTCTATTTTAGGTGAGGTTTGTTGTGTACTCTCTCTGTGGGGTGTGTGGTACTTTAGGTGAGGTTGGTTGTGTACTCTCTGTGTGGGGTGTGTGGTACTTTAGGTGAGGTTTGTTGTGTATACTCTCTGTGGGATGTGTGCTATTTTAGGTGATGTTTGTTGTGTATACTCTCTGTGGGATGTGTGGTACTTTGGGTGAGGTTTGTTGTGTACATTGTCAGTGGGGTGTGTGGTACTTTAGGTGAGGTTTGTTGTGTACACTGTCTGTGGGGTGTGTGGTACTTTAGGTGAGGTTGGTTGTGTACTCTCTCTGTGGGATGTGTGGTACTTTAGGTGAGGTTGGTTGTGTACTCTCTCTGTGGGGTGTGTGGTACTTTTGATGAGGTTTGTTGTGTACTCTCTCTGTGGGGTGTGTGGTACTTTAGGTGAGGTTGGTTGTGTACTCTCTGTGTGGGGTGTGTGGTACTTTAGGTGAGGTTGGTTGTGTACTCTCTGTGGGATGTGTGGTACTTTAGGTGAGGTTGGTTGTGTACACTCTCTGTGAGGTGTGTGGTACTTTAGGTTTGTGGTTTGAACAAAAGATCAATATCATAGCACACGGGTAAAAGTAAAAAAAAAAAGTAAAGATCCCTTTTTACGCCTTTCAGCTAGTAACCCCTAAATGCTCCGTTTTCTTTTTCTAACTTAAGTCTGAGCCCGAAGAAGCTCAGAACACTGCACAGGCTCTGTAGCACCGGCGAAGATCCTGAAATACTGGTAGATTTTTAACTCCAAATTTTGCATGGGAAGCGCAATTAGGCTACTCTTCTCAATTTCCAACTGCCACGGGATTTTTTACATGCGCAACAATGCACACGGGCGTCCAATCTCACTACCCATAGAACAGGGGGAATTACTAGATGTCAAAGTCCACGAGACAAAATCCCAGCCCTTACCGGGGGTTGAACTCTGAACCTCTAGCACTCGAGGTGGACACCATGCTTCGAGACCATGCAGCCCCCTTGTGCAACTTTAGGTAAGGTTTGTTATATACGCTGTCAGTGGGGTGTCTGCTCGCTCTTATGGCTTACGCTCAGAGAGGGGGAGGGGAGTGAAAAACGTAAAACCTAGGGAGGGTGATATAAGAAAGGGAAATAGAGAGAGAGAGAGAGAGAGAGAGAGAATAAAAGTGAAAAAGAGGGGAAGAGAGAGTGAGGGGGTAAAACAAAAAAGGAGACAAAGAGTAAGAATTAAAAAAAAAAAGGAATGAAGAGGGAAATGGACAGGGAAAGAATGAGATTTAAAGAGAGATAAATAGAGAAGGAATGAGAGTGACAAACTGAGGGTGATAGGGAGAGAAAGAAAAAAAAGAGTGGTGTTTGTATGCGTGGGAGGGTGCTAGGTCAGGCTGGTGTTCAAGAAGACGAAGAAATTAAGAGGAAGAAGACAAAGAAAACGAACAAGGAGAAGAAGACAAAGAAAACGAAGGAGAAGAAAATTAAGAAGAAGAAGAATAAGGAAATGAAGAAGAAGAGGGTGAAGAAAAATGAAGACGATGACAAAGAAAAGGAGGAAAACGAAGAAGAAGAAAATAACAACAAGAAGACAAAGAAAATGAAGAAGAAAAAGAAGACACAAGAAAATGAAGAAAAAGAAGACACAAGAAAATGAAGAAGAAGAAGACAAAGAAAATGGAGAAGAAAAAAAAATGAAGAAAAAGAAGACAAACAAATTAAAGAAGAATAATGGCAAGGAGATAAGAAAGAATAAAAAGCAAGGTTATGTTGAAAAATTCTTTCATATGTATGTAGGATTTCCTGTTATTTTTTGGGTATTTGATTGATAACACATGTATTTATTTGTTTATGATTTGTTTGTGTCCAGTGTTTGCTTGCTTGGGATTTTTGTCTCCGGCCAATAGAGGTGCTTTGATGACTTGTGCCTTGGTGAGTGTCTGTGTGTGTTGTTTGTGTGTGTGGTTTGTGTGTGTTGTTTGTGTGTGTTGTTTCTGTGTGTTGTTTTGTGTCCAGTGTTTGTTTATGTCCAGTCTTTGCTTGCCTGGGATTCTTGTTTCCGGCCAATAGAGGTGTTTTGATGACTAACAGATAAATCAGTTAATGTAACTGTGAGCTGGAAGTAGAGGGACTTAACTAACAAATAAATCGATTAATGTAACTATTAGCTGGAAGTAGAGGGACTTATCTAACAAATAAATCGGTTAATGTAACTATTAGCTGGAAGTAGAGGGACTTATCTAACAAATAAATCGGTTAATGTAACTATTAGCTGGAAGTAGAGGGACTTAACTAACAAATAAATCGGTTAATGTAACTGTGAGCTGGAAGTAGAGGGACTTAACTAACAAATAAATCGGTTAATGTAACTATTAGCTGGAAGTAGAGGGACTTATCTAACAAATAAATCGGTTAATGTAACTATTAGCTGGAAGTAGAGGGACTTATCTAACAAATAAATCGGTTAATGTAGCTGTTAGCTGGAAGTAGAGGGACTTAACTAATAGATAAATCGGTTAATGTAACTGTTAGCTGGAAGTAAAGGAACTTAACTAACAAATAAATCGGTTAATGTTACTATGAGCTGGAGGTAGAGGAACTACACTAACAAATAAATCGGTTAATGTAACTATTAGTTGTCTGGAGCAGCTAAAATAACAGAATAGAGTAGGTTAATTTTACAGAAACAAGGGTTGGATAACAACTGGAAAAGGGAGGGGATGAAATGTTGCCACAACTGCAGTGGGTTGTTTAGGGTGGGGAATGGGGGGGGGGGGAGATGGGATAGATGGTGACAAAGTTCATAGTTGCGAGCCTGCACACACTGCTGGAGAGGGAAACAGTCGATCAATGGTTTGTCACCATATCATGGGTTGACTTGACAGCTGCTGTTCGAAGACCAGCTGTTGCCATCAGTTTTATCTCCTGGTTTGTGTGTGTGTGTGTGCACGAGGGAGAGAGAGAGATTGCAGATGCTTGTATGTGTTGGGGCGGGGGGAAGGGGGGGGGGAGATTTCAGATGTGTGTGTGAGAAAGAGGGAGAGAGAGATTGTACGTGTGTGTGTGAGGGGGGGGGGGGGGGAAGAGATTTTAGGTGCGTGTGTGAGAGAAAGAGGGAGAGAGAGATTGCAGATGTGTGTATGTGTGTGGTGGGGGGGGGGGAGATTTCAGATGTGTGTGTGTGTGTGAGAAAGAGGGAGAGAGAGATTGCACGTGTGTGTGCCCATTTTTGAAATGATAGTTTTTTCATATTGGGCTATGAGGGACAGACATTCTTTGTAAACTTGGCTGTTGTAATGTGGCTGAACTCTGTTATTTGACAGGCAGGGTGGCCGTGCAGGTGGAGTGTTACTAGTTTAGAGTGTGCTGGGTTCAGATCTAACCTCCTGAAATGAAATGCTCGTCGTGTGCATGCATGAAAACAGTCACACCAGGCAGATTATACACACACCCACACACACACGATCTTGCACTCCATACAAATACTTCAGATATACCAGATTTTTTCAAATGAAGACAAGTTTTATTACATTATTACATTTTTAAAGTTTAAAATTGGCTGTCTTCATATTTTTTAATTATGGGCTTAAAAAAAAAAAGTTGGAGGTTGGGGTGTCTTGTACACATAGTGTGTTTAATATATTAATTTTTTAAGTTTAAGGCTTAAAAAATAAGGGTCTTCTTATACATGGGAGCTCTTGTAAAGAGAAAAATACTGACTGTTTTTCTCTCCGTCCTTCACTCATTTGATGTGTCACTAGATGTTAGTGATCCTGTGACAGATACTGCCATGAAAGTGTGAAGTACTTTTGTCACCTGTGCTAAGTCACAGCTGTTTGAAGTAAGTAAAGTTACCTTTTCCACACACTCAGGCATATAGGGCTAGACCTAAATTTTATAGACTGGTTGGATGATGTGGTCAGCATCTCGCTGGCCGATGTTACTTCCCAGGACTCTACCCGGGACTCTTTCAAAGCTGGGTCGACCTGAGAGCCGAGGTCATTTTTGAAAAACAACTTCTAGTTCTATCAGGACACGTAACCACGACTTTCAGATTGGCAGATGAGTGTCTTGCCACTACACTACTCAAGCTCTCGCTAATGAGTGTCTTGCCACTACACGACTCCAGCTCTCGCTAATGAGTGTCTTGCCACTACACGACTTGAGCTCTCACTAATGAGTGTCTTGCCACTACACGACTCCAGCTCTCACTAATGAGTGTCTTGCCACTACACGACTCAAGCTCTCACTAATGAGTGTCTTGCCACTACACGACTCAAGCTCTCACTAATGAGTGTCTTGCCACTACACGACTCCAGCTCTCACTAATGAGTGTCTTGCCACTACACGACTCAAGCTCTCACTAATGAGTGTCTTGCCACTACACGACTCAAGCTCTCACTAATGAGTGTCTTGCCACTACACGACTCCAGCTCTCACTAATGAGTGTCTTGCCACTACACGACTCCAGCTCTCACTAATGAGTGTCTTGCCACTACACGACTCCAGCTCTCACTAATGAGTGTCTTGCCACTACACGACTCCAGCTCTCACTAATGAGTGTCTTGCCACTACACGACTCCAGCTCTCACTAATGAGTGTCTTGCCACTACACGACTCCAGCTCTCACTAATGAGTGTCTTGCCACTACACGACTCCAGCTCTCACTAATGAGTGTCTTGCCACTACACGACTCCAGCTCTCACTAATGAGTGTCTTGCCACTACACGACTCCAGCTCTCACTAATGAGTGTCTTGCCACTACACGACTCCAGCTCTCACTAATGAGTGTCTTGCCACTACACGACTCCAGCTCTCACTAATGAGTGTCTTGCCACTACACGACTCCAGCTCTCACTAATGAGTGTCTTGCCACTACACGACTCAAGCTCTCACTAATGAGTGTCTTGCCACTACACGACTCCAGCTCTCACTAATGAGTGTCTTGCCACTACACGACTCCAGCTCTCACTAATGAGTGTCTTGCCACTACACGACTTGAGCTCTCACTAATGAGTGTCTTGCCACTACACGACTTGAGCTCTCACTAATGAGTGTCTTGCCACTACACGACTCCAGCTCTCACTAATGAGTGTCTTGCCACTACACGACTCCAGCTCTCACTAATGAGTGTCTTGCCACTACACGACTTGAGCTCTCACTAATGAGTGTCTTGCCACTACACGACTTGAGCTCTCACTAATGAGTGTCTTGCCACTACACGACTCCAGCTCTCACTAATGAGTGTCTTGCCACTACACGACTCCAGCTCTCACTAATGAGTGTCTTGCCACTACACGACTCAAGCTCTCACTAATGAGTGTCTTGCCACTACACGACTCCAGCTCTCACTAATGAGTGTCTTGCCACTACACGACTCCAGCTCTCACTAATGAGTGTCTTGCCACTACACGACTCCAGCTCTCACTAATGAGTGTCTTGCCACTACACGACTCAAGCTCTCACTAATGAGTGTCTTGCCACTACACGACTCCAGCTCTCACTAATGAGTGTCTTGCCACTACACGACTCCAGCTCTCACTAATGAGTGTCTTGCCACTACACGACTCCAGCTCTCACTAATGAGTGTCTTGCCACTACACGACTCAAGCTCTCACTAATGAGTGTCTTGCCACTACACGACTCCAGCTTTCGCTGCATAAAGTGTGTGAAGCCAAAGCTGCCCACATTTTCCCTCTTTACTGTGGTTGGAAATGTAGACACATTCCAGTGCTTGTTGTTAATGTTTAGTTGCTGTTGATGTTTATTATTACTTGTTGACAAATGTATGAATGAAGTGGTGCATGATATCTATATATCAATGATTGAACAGACCTTATTTTCAAAGGGTCACAAATTGGGCACGTGGGCCCATCTTACATTCGGCTCTTCCAAACACTCATCTTTCACACAGCAGTTGTCTTTTATCATGTTTATGTTTGTTCATTGAGTACAACAATTTTTTTAGCAGCCGTAAATCTTAATGAAAATGTGAATAGGCCCCATTCTGCCTGGAAACTATATATTTTAAGGGCGACATACAATTTGCGGGAGGGGTGTGACTCCGAGGATTAAGGGCTGTGTGGCTAGTGCTGTTCCCCACAAAACTGCAGATTAATATTTGTATTTTTATAGGCCCCTTCCCCCTAATGGCAACATTCAAAATTAGAACGGCTGCCTATGATAGAATATTGAATCTCTTGTGGAAGGAAAGGGGAAACCATCATGTACAATTTTTGTGTGCCTAAAATAAGAAAATGGACAAGCTGAATTAATGGTAGAGGGGCATGTTTAGTAAACTATCCCAGTTGATGTTCATGTTTATTCAATGGATCAACATCATGGCGCATGGTTGTAACAGATAAGTGCTACGTTCTACTTCTAACTCAAGCCTGAGCCTGAAGCACAAACTCTGTTGCACCGACGAGAATCCTGAAATACTTTGGGTAGAATTTTAACTCCAAATTGTTTTCTGGGCAGCGCCGTTAGGCGACTCTTTTCGATTTAAAACTGCCAAGGGATTTTTTTTACGTGCTCAAGAATACACACGGCCACATGAAAAAAAAAATAATCGCCAGCCTTCACAGGGGCCTAAACCCGGGACCTCCAGCACTCGAGGCAGACACCATACCTCAAGACCACACAGCCCCACCACCCCCCCCCCCCACCCCCCCAAAAAAACCCCATCCCAGTGCTGGGAGTAGATAACCCGTGACTACCCTGGTTGTGAGTCAGTATCCATGATTGCTGTGTGTTTCAGGTGCTGTATGTCTGCCTGGGGACTCCAGCTGGCTACGTGTCAGCAAGGATGTACAAAAGTAAGATCCCATCTGTTCTGTTTTATAGATCACAATCATTTGTCTTTCTACTACTCTTTTATTCCTATTATTGTTATGTATTGTTATAAGTTATAGATCACAATCATTTGTCTTTCTGCTACTCTTGTATTCCTATTATTGTTATGTATTGTTATAAGTTATAGATCACAATCATTTGTCTTTCTGCTACTCTTGTATTCCTATTATTGTTATGTATTGTTATAAGTTATAGATCACAATCATTTGTCTTTCTGCTACTCTTGTATTCCTATTATTGTTATGTATTGTTATAAGTTATAGATCATTATCATTTGTATTTCTGCTACTATTTTATTCCTATTATTGTTATGTATTGTTATAAGTTATAGATCATTATCATTTGTATTTCTGCTACTATTTTATTCCTATTATTGTTATGTATTGTTATAAGTTATAGATCATTATCATTTGTATTTCTGCTACTATTTTATTCCTATTATTGTTATGTATTGTTATAAGTTATAGATCATTATCATTTGTATTTCTGCTACTATTTTATTCCTTATTATTGTTATGTATTGTTATAAGTTATAGATCATTATCATTTGTATTTCTGCTACTATTTTATTCCTATTATTGTTATGTATTGTTATAAGTTATAGATCATTATCATTTGTATTTCTGCTACTCTTGTATTCCTATTATTGTTATGTATTGTTATAAGTTATAGATCATTATCATTTGTATTTCTGCTACTATTTTATTCCTATTATTGTTATGTATTGTTATAAGTTATAGATCATTATCATTTGTATTTCTGCTACTATTTTATTCCTATTATTGTTATGTATTGTTATAAGTTATAGATCATTATCATTTGTATTTCTGCTACTCTTTTATTCCTATTATTGTTATGTATTGTTATAAGTTATAGATCATTATCATTTGTATTTCTGCTACTATTTTATTCCTATTATTGTTATGTATTGTTATAAGTTATAGATCATTATCATTTGTATTTCTGCTACTATTTTATTCCTATTATTGTTATATATTTTATAAGTTATAATTATCATTTGTATTTCTGCTACTGTTTTATTCCTATTATTGTTTTATATTTTATAAGTTATAATTATCATTTGTATTTCTGCTACTATTTTATTCCTATTATTGTTGTATATTTTATAAGTTATAATTATCATTTGTATTTCTGCTACTATTTTATTCCTATTATTGTTATATATTTTATAAGTTATAGATCATTATCATTTGTATTTCTGCTACTATTTTATTCCTATTATTGTTATGTATTGTTGTAAGTTATAGATCATTATCATTTGTATTTCTGCTACTATTTTATTCCTATTATTGTTATATATTTTATAAGTTATAATTATCATTTGTATTTCTACTAATCTTTTATTTCTACTATTGTTATATATTATCACTATTACTTTTATGACTATTTTTCATCTTCCTTTATTTCATTCCATTTTATTTTGTTAATTTCTTATCACCTTTTTATAGTTTCTTACGTGACTGCTTGGTGGGCGCTGGTGGTTGGAGTACTCTCCCTTTTGTTATTGTTAGTTCAGGTTTTAGGGTCATATTCACACCGAGCCAGGAATGCAGAGGCTTTGTAGCTTTTCATACGTTATGTATTACTTTTACATTACATGCAGCTTGTTCTGTGAAACAAGGGTTAATTTGTTTGTTTTCTATTTAGCTTTTGGTGGAGAGAAATGGAAGTCGAATGTGATTCTGACAGCATTTTTCTGCCCTGGGTAAGTTGAAAAATATTTCTTTCATGCAATCCTTTCTTGTTGAATTTCTGTGCTTACTCTTTTTGCCTAGGTAACCTTCATGTGTGTGTGTTCTTGTTTCTTCCTGTGTGTTTATTCTTTTTTCTTTTTGTGTTTTTGTTTCTTCCTGTGTGAGTGTTCTCACTTTTTCCTCTTTATTTGTGTGTTTTTTCTTCATTTTCTATGTATGTTCTTCTTTCTTCCTGTTTGTGTTCTTTTGTTGCTTCCTGTGTGTGTATGTTCTTCTTTTTTCCTGTGTGTGTTCTTTTATTGCTTCCTCTGTGTGTATGTTCTTGTTTCTTCCTATGTGTGTGTTCTTTTATTGCTTCCTCTGTGTGTATGTTCTTGTTTCTTCCTGTGTGGGTGTTCTCGCTTCTGTATGTGGGTGTTCTTTCTTTTTATGTATGTGTGTTTTTGTTTCTTTCTGTGTGTATATTCTTGTTTCTTCCTATGTGTGTGTGTTCTTATTTCTTCCTATATGTGTAGTTCTGGTTTCTTCCTGTGTGTGTTTGTGTTCTTATTTTTTCCTATGTGTATGTTCTTGTTTATTTCTGTGTGTATTCTTTTTTCTTTCTATTTGTGTGTTCTTTTTTTTTCCCCATATGTGTTTTTTCATCTCTTCCTTTGTTTTCTTATTTCTTCCAGTGTAAATTATCCTGACTCACAAATATTTTATGATTGTCTACAGCGTGGTGTTTGGCATTTTCTTTTTCCTGAACCTGGTGCTGTGGAGTTACGGAAGCTCGGCTGCGATCCCCTTCACCACCCTACTAGCCCTGCTAGCGCTGTGGTTTGGTATCTCTGTGCCTCTGGCCTTCATTGGGGCTTACTTCGGCTTTAGGAAACGGGTAAGTGTGGTGGTATTTGTTCACTGGTCTCTGTACCTCTCGCCTTCATTTGGGCTGACTTTGGCTTTAGGAAATGGGTCAATGTGGTGGTGTTTGTTCACTGGTTTCACTATGTGGATTCTTTTTTAAGGGAAAACAGAAATAACCCATTGCTTCCTAAAAAGTGTGTCTTAAAAGATGTCTAATTAATCCTTTAATAATGCTTAGAAGTAAAATAGAGGCTTTTGAGCTGACATGCTGTAGAAAGATTCTCAGAATACAGCGGACCCAGAAGAGAAGAAATACCAACATTTTAAAAGATCTGGACATCAGGGAAGATTGGCTAATAAACAGCATCTTGTCTCAGAAGCTAAAATATTTTGGTCACATAAAGCGCCATGGCGAATTAAAAAAAAAAAAAAAATTGCCGAAGGCATAGTGCCAGGAAGGAGGGGCAGGGGCCAGCCAACACGAAGATAGGCACAGGATATAAGTGACGCCTTGAATGTGGAAGTACCCGAGGCAGAAGAGCTGGCGAGAGACCGAATTTCTTCCAGGCCGACCGACGCTGTACAGAGAACCTGCTAGATTACTGTCGTATGGCAGTTTTGTCGCGCACCTTTACTAACGGAATATTTTCACAATCCCTCAGGTGCTCTGAGACAGGGGTGTTTTGAATGGTGGCTCTCGCTCGTCTAGAGGCCTAACCCTCGGTTCAAACTTTCCATTCAACCTGTCTCAGGGATGAGGTGACTCGAGCTCTGACTCCACAGGGTTATTATGAACTCTTGGGTACCTCTCGGCCAGACGTCCTCATCACTCTTATGCCCCCAGACTGGTAACAATGTAACACAGTCGAACAAGTAAACAACAGTGAATACGACAAGACATGACTACCTTTCTGAATGCCACAATGAATTCCAATGAGACAAGACTTTCCTAAGAACCAGACGACAGATGAACTCAAAATTCAATGTAATAAGTTCACTGTAACAAAGATGACGAAAAATAACCTGAAGAATCAACTGAAAGAATACTGAATTCTTTAAAGAACAATGCTAGAGAAAGAGTCTTCCTCCTAATCTACGTCTCTTTCCGGTAGCATCATAGCTGAGGAGTTGGATAGATTGTAAAGGCCCATTTGGAATCAAGCTGCCTCTAAGTGTCACTCTGACTTATCTGTTTAGATCTTGTAGCTCCTCAGGATGCCGGAGTGAAGTTTCAGACCACCTCACTTCGTAGAATGACTACACAGGAACGATGTGGCTTCTGTAATTGATCAAGGATGATCAACTCGAGATCGGAAGATGTCGACTCTAGTACCGTCTGCACACTCAGCAATAGCAATACACGCCACGTCAATAGCTTCTAGGGTGGTGCTTGGTGGAAGCACTCAGTTAGACCAATTCACCCTACGTCAATAGCTTCTAGGGTGGTGCTTGGTGGAAGCACTCGGTTAGATGGTGTCAGGTGGAAGCACTCGGTTAGATGGTGCCAGGTGGAAGCACTCGGTTAGATGGCGGACGCTCGTTGGATCTTCAGAAATCCTGAAAAACACAAAGCAACACCCATGAGCGAACCGTACCCAATGCACCTAGTCAATCAATGTCCTTACCATCTCCTCATGCTCAGATAACTTGAGGTTAATCCAAACCATGAAGGTTGGTTACCTCTATCTTGGAATCCATTCAGTGTACCAGAGTGAGCACCAGATCATTAACTCGAATAGTTTCTGAATTCAATCCTGTAGCGAAAGCCAGGCAGATCTCCATGATTTCCCCTCCCTTTTAATATACCTTTTTCACCAATTGGAAAGATAAGGTAGAGGGGATGAAATCAAAACTAAGATCGAAGGAAATATGCTTCGAAAGTAGTACGACAGTCTAAGCTTGTTGTGGTTACGAAGCTCCTAGCAACAGCGGATATGACGTCATGTCTGCCGCGAAGCTTCTTGTCATTCACAACGGTTCAGCGACTAACCAAGTTCAGAGACCGAATAACAGCAAACAACTAATCATACAAAGTTAACAATACCATAAACCCACTCCAGATATGTGGATTGATTGATCCGAAGAGGTTTAGAAGGCCGGTTCTAAGAATTCTCCGAGAAATGTTAGCCGAAAGTGTATTCCAATCTGGAGCTCTATTCGCCGTCTTCCATCGCAAGGATCGTAGACAAACAGATTCGCATTATCAATCTGCTGACCTTACTTACCCACACTACAGACACTCTAAGCACAAATATTCAATTAATAACCCTTATGAAAACTCACCCATGATAAATGAAAAGAGAATAAAGAATCTTGTCTTTTTAACGGTCAAGTGGCAACACACCCGAAAAGCATCTGCCTCATAGACCGGACCATAGAGAAGTGACGCATACAAATACGTTCCCCAACTACAGCAGTTGGCGTAAGAATCCTGCTCATGTATGCAGTGCAATGGCTAGACAATTTATTTTAAATAGGCGTGGAAAATGTGTCCTAACGTGTAAATCGACACTAAAAGCCTAAAAGAATCAATATCAGAGTGATTTATAGGGATTTTTCTTAACTGGACACCCCCCCCCCCCCCCACACACACACACAAACGAACTAGATAACCACGGTTGGCCCATTGTATATCATAGTTACAATGACGATTCTGGGGGTGTTCAGACTGTGGACCTGCCCAAGGCGGTAGATGTGTGTATACTGTCATGCTACAGAGATGATGATGAATTACGGGTGTTTCCTTCAAAATTAGAGTGTGTCTGCCTGAGAGGTGAGGAACCAAAAGTCTGCATTCAAATAAGGCAGATCTGTAGAACGTATGTGCACTCAAAACTCAAGTTCTGGAACAAAACCAAAGTCCATAAGTCGGCTAACAGCCAGAGTTTACTGCCGGTGAACGTGAAGAAGAAGAAGATCAGTCAGGTGTCATCTCCAGAGTGAAGGTTGGCTGCAGTGGATCTTCAATTTCTGTCTTTTCCCATGGATGTACACTCTTCAACTGCTCTTGAGGTTGTCCTGCCACTTGTATCGCTGTCTGCCTCTTGCCTGCTTGCCTTCCGGTATGGTTTTGATAAAGTGTGATGTCTTGTAACGGGGCTGAGGTATTTCACCTGTCTCTTTTTCGGTCAAATTTACCAGATGTCACTAACTTTTCAATTGTTTGTGTTAAAACTGAGGGAGGAGAGCGGAATCCAGCGCCATGTGGGACACAATCATGCCTTTTAGAAGCCAGACCTTTCCCGTTTGGGTTCCAGGGTCCCATCCTCTGCTTCTTAGCAAGCATGTCATAAAAGGCAACTAATAAGGGATTTTTTATGATATGCCGAAAGGCGCAGGTATCACAGTCCAGCTGTAAATCATTGCACAATATACCAACCACCCTTTAAAGGGGAATGCAGAAGAAGAAGAGACATATAATCACAACGAAGAACTAAGAACAATGGTAGGCACAGTACCGGTGATTGAGTCCATAGAACATCAAAGACTCGAATGGTTTGGTCATCTAGTCAGAATGCAACAAAATCAACCAGCAGCTAGAGCATTTAACATGAGAACAGCGGGTTGCAAGGCATGAGGCTGACCAAGAAACACATGGGTGGACGGAGTAAAAGAGACACTACAGAAACACATTATTACGTTACACAAGCTATGCTGAAAGGAAGAAAAGGAGGAGGAGGAAGAAGAGCTAAATCTGATTTATGCAATAATTTTGAAGTTATGAAATTAATTAGCATGTTTTTGAGAGTGTCGGCCTTGTCCTTGCAGCCCATTGAGCATCCTACTCGCACCAACCAGATCCCACGCCAGATCCCGGATCAGTCGCTGTACACCCGCCCCCTGCCGGGCATCATCATGGGAGGGGTGCTGCCCTTCGGATGTATCTTCATCCAGCTTTTCTTCATTCTCAACAGCATCTGGTAAGTCTTTGGTTGTGATTTATGCCTGGATACATCTGTGTGGTTTGTGGGTGTGTGTATCCGTGTGGTTTGTGGGCGTATGTATCCATGTGATTTGTGGGTGTATGTAGACATGTGATTTGTGGGTGTATGTAGCCATGTAATTTGTGGGTATTTGTATCCTTGTGATTTGTGGCTGTATGTATCTGTGTGATTTGTGGGTGTATGTATCCATGTGATTTCTGGGTGTATGTATCCATGTGATTTCTGGGTGGGTAGTGTATCCTTGTGATTTATGGGTGGGTGTATGTAACCATGTGAATTGTGGGTAGATGTATACATGTGATTTCTGGGTGGCTGCATCTGTGGGAATTGTGGGTAGATGTATCAGTGTGATTTGTAGGTGAATTTAACCGTAGGAATCCGGGGTAAATGTATTCGTACGGTTTGTGGGAGAATATAACTGTGTCATTTATTTGTGGCAGGATGTAACCGTGTGATTTCTGGTGGATGTTTCCATGTGGTTTATGGGCGGATCTATCCGTATGCTTTGTTGGTGGATGTATCTGTGTGGTTTACGGGTGAATGTATGAATATGATTTGTGAATAGATACATTTATCTCGATAGACTAAACTTATGCCATGGTTATTAGTTTACAAAGAGGTGAGGAGGCCAGACAAGAGAGCACTGTGCATGAAGCCAAAGAAGAATAAATCAACAGCTGTAGAGACTGAGGCATATTCTCATCATCATCATCCAGTGTCTTGCCGAGTGGCGTTGCCGATCATGCCTCTCCACAATCTGCTGTCAGCAAGTGGGTGTATCAGTTTGTGTGTTGACACCTGTCCATGCCGTGACAAGAGGCTGTCAAGAAACTTCTCTATATTAAGTCATAAACTAAGGACATCAATTGTTGACATCTAGATAGATCAACAACACACCAACAGTGAGAATCTTCAGATGTGATATATATTCAACCCTGCTCTATGGTGCGAGTCGCCGTGGCAGAGCGGCTAGACGCACGCCGCGGATCGGAAGGTCGTGGGTTCGCTCCCTGGTGGAGACGGACTATTCTTCAAAAATGACCTTGGCTCCCAGGTCGACTCAGCCTTGAGTGGGTACCGGGTGCAGTCCCGGGAAGTAAAGACGGCCGGCGTGATGCTGACCACATCACCCATCTTGTGCCGTTGGTCTATAAAAATATAGGTCTAGCCCTATATGCCCTATACGCCTAAAGGCGTGGAAAGGGTCCTTTCCTTTTTTTTTTTACTATGGTGCAGAAATTTGGCCAGTGAACAAAAACTAGACAACCGAATTGAGCTTCTGGAAATGTGGATATACAGACGAATTGGTCATATTTCATCGAAACGTAATCATCAAATACAGAAATCCTGGAAAGGCTAAGTGAAAAGAAAGAAAAACTGACTGAAAAAAAAGACAGTTGAAATATTATATCCACATTAAAAGACATAATAACGCTTAAAAAAACCAAGCTGAAGGGAAGGGTCGAGGGCAAGAGAGCAAGAGGTAGACAATGATACAAGTGGGAGGACAACATCAAGAAATGGACAAACAGCAGTCTAAGAGAGAGTGCACCAATACAGGAGACAGCATACATTTTAGCCATCTTTCATTGGGAAGACACGATTCGGACAACACCTACATTGTTGCTTGTTTTTATCTCCACAAGTCTTTCCAGACTTATTACATGTTTTTGATGTTTTTTATGATTCAGACACCACCTAATATTGTTGCTTGTTTTGTGTATCTCCGCAGGTCTCACCAGACTTATTACATGTTTGGCTTCTTGTTCCTGGTGTTCATCATCTTGATCATCACCTGCAGTGAAGCCACCATTCTCCTGTGCTACTTCCACTTATGTGCAGAGGTCAGTCTTGGATTGTGTCTTGTTCTTGCTGGTCATCTGTACTTGCCCGCTTGACCATGTCATGACAGTCGACTCATTAGAGGTGAAACAGTAAAGGACCCTTTCCCACACTTTCAGGCATATAGGGCAGGACCTATATTGTATAGACCAGTGGGCACTTGGTGGGTGATGTGTTCAGTATCACGCCTGGCCGCCTTTACAGACTTCTAGAACTAGACCAGATTCCAGGAGTGACTAAACAACCAGAACTTTGTGCCGGAGTTTACAGCCAGGGACTGCACAGAAACAGAAGATGATTGGTGGTTGTCTGGGAGATGTACTAGTGGGTCACTGGATAGATTGTTGGTTGTCTGGGAGATGTACTAGTGGGTCACTGGATAGATTGGTGGTTGTCTGGGAGATGTACTAGTGGGTCACTGGATAGATTGGTGGTTGTCTGGGAGATGTACTAGTGGGTCACTGGATAGATTGTTGGTTGTCTGGGAGATGTACTAGTGGGTCACTGGATAGATTGGTGGTTGTCTGGGAGATGTACTAGTGGGTTTCTTCTAAAGCTGTTCATTTGCCTTAGAAGCAAGGAACCAGCAGTCTGCATACAATTAAGCCATATCTGTAAACTGGATGTGCACTCAAAACTCAACTTCTGGTACAAGACTAAAGTCCAGAAGTGGATGAGCAACCAGAACTTTCCTCTGGGGTTTACAGCCAGTGAACACAAAGAAGGAACAGAATATGTTTGTTGATCACTTTGGCACTCATTAAATGATGTCGTCAGCAATAATGCTGAAGAATAGACAGATAAAATAAATAATGAATATTTGGAATGTTGAATTAAGAATCAACGTCATAGAACACCAGACACCCCCATAAGCTCTCTGTCTAGCTTGCATACGTCAACACACCGGCATAACTTGGAGAAATATCCAAAGGACGCTAACTACCCGGGACCTCTGAAGCAATGCTTGCCACTCTGCGTGGAGCATACCTGACTCCACCTTTCTCAGCATGCTTTGTGAGTCAGTTACAATGACGACATGTATGTACAGCTGATTCTCAAGCCAACGGAAGGCAGCAGTGACTGCCTCCACCTCCATTCTCAAACTAGACGTTGTGATGTCATATGCCAGGCTTTTTTTGTGGGCAGGTAAATAGTCAGACATTCAATGGCAGATATTAAAGTTGGTAAATGAAGTTGGTAAATGGGCGGAAAGATGGGATACTCAAATTAGTAGTTTGATGGATGAAAGTCCCCATGGGGGTTCTGGGGCCCAGAAAGCATGTCAAAAGAGTTGACTGGTTTGGGGCTTCCTTCCAAGTCTGGCTGCATCTGCAACCAACAGTCTGCATACAAAAATGTCAGATCTGTTAAATCTATGTGCATATTCAAGACTAAGTCCAGGAATGGATGACCAACCAGACCTTTTCTTTGGACTTTACAACCAGTGAATGCAAAGAAGAAAAAGAAAAAAGATGGATAGTATACTACAAAATAGATATATATGCGTAGGTGAATGGATTAAAAAGGTAATTAACTGGATGAATGGATGGATGGTAACTACAGCGAATGTAGTAAGTACCAATTCAGTCATCATCGCTGAAAATGCCTGCCCAACACATAAACCCAGCACGCCTTGTTTGCTTGCATTCAGTTGTGTTGATTATCTCGCCCAGGTAGCACTTTAACTTAAACAAAATCATAACATTAACTGTGGGTCTTGTACACTGGTCACTGTAGACAGGTAGGAAAAATGACATTTTCAGGGAATTGGACCCAACTTCAAGGGTCAATCGAGTGACTTCTCGGGGCCAAAAGTGTTAATTGTTGTACTCTGTTACTTTTCAGGACTACCACTGGTGGTGGAGGTCGTTTCTCACAAGTGGCTTCACAGCCATCTACTTCTTCTTCTACTGCATCCACTACTTCTTCACCAAGCTGGAGATGAGTGGCTTCACCAACACCTTCCTCTACTTCGGCTACACCACCATCATCGTTTTCTTGTTCTTCATTGTTACAGGTCAGTGCTGTTGATTCTTTGTTTGTGTGTTTGTCAGCCATTTAGATAGAAGACTGATATCTCAGGTTATTTAGATATGGTGTGTCTTCGTTCAGGTTATTGAGATATGTATGGTATGTCTCGCCAGCAAGGAGATCAAAATTAGAATTTTGAGAGTATGCATCGTCCCTGTAGCAACACACAGATGTGAGTCGTGGACTCGGAAGCTGAAATATTTTGGTTATAACAAGCACCATGGCGGATTGGAAAGAATAATAGCAGAAGGCATGGTACCAGGAAGGAGGGGCAGGGGCTGACTGACACGAAGATGGGCACAGGATATAAGTGACTACTTGAGTGTGAAAGTACATGAGGCGGGAGAGCTGGCGATAGACCGAGTTTCTTTCAGGCAGACCATGATGAGAGCGAGGTTTTGCAAAGGACCTGCTACATGATGATGATGGTATGTCTTTGTTCAGGTTATTTAGATAGAAGACTGTTATCTCAAGTTATTTAGATAGAAGACTGGTATGTCTGCCTCAGGTAATTTAGATAGAAGACTGGTATGTCTGCCTCAGGTAATTTAGATAGAAGACTGGTATGTCTGCCTCAGATTATTTAGATAGAAGACTGGTATGTCTGCCTCAGGTAGTTTAGATAGAAGACTGGTATGTCTGCCTCAGGTAATTTAGATAGAAGATCAGCACATCTGCCTCAGGTTATTTAGATAGAAGACTGGTATGTCTGCCTCAGGTAATTTAGATAGAAGACGGCATGTCTGCCTCAGGTAATTTAGAAAGAAGACTGGTATGTCTGCCTCAGATTATTTAGATAGAAGACTGGTATGTCTGCCTCAGGTAATTTAGATAAAAGACTGGTATGTCTGCCTCAGGTAATTTAGATAGAAGATCAGCACATCTGCCTCAGGTTATTTAGATAGAAGACTGGTATGTCTGCCTCAGGTAATTTAGATAGAAGACAGTATGTCTGCCTCAGGTAATTTAGAAAGAAGACTGGTATGTCTGCCTCAGGTAATTTAGATAGAAGACAGGTATGTCTGCCTCAGGTAATTTAGATGGAAGACAGGTATGTTTGCCTCAGGTTATTTAGATAGAAGACTGGTATTTCTGCCTCAGGTTATTTAGATAGAAGATCAGCACATCTGACTCAGGTTATTTAATAGACTGATAGGTCTGAATCAGATTATTTAGAGATAATATTTCTGCATCAAGTTATTTCCTCAGAAGACAAGTGGGAAGTTGTTTGAACCTGTTGCTGCATGAGTTGTCTGATTTTTTTACAACCTGTAGTGATGGTTTGACAACCTGTAGTGATTGTTTGACAACCTGTAGTGATTGTTTGACAACCTGTAGTCTTACTCTCCTGGAGATTGTAGTGATATTCCGGATCTGTGTCAGCTAGTGGCGTATTTTAAGTTATGTTAACAACTGACGTTATGGCATTTGAGACATTTCCATAAGTAATCCATCCCCATATTCAGCACCCAGTGGCAGACCAGGATGGTGTTAAGTTGGTGGACACATGTTTTGGAGTTTATGTCTGAGGGTTGGTTGTCTGGTGAAACCTGTGGAAGTACAAGTTTCATTCACGCCTCACTGATGTTCCGGTCATCTCATTGATGTTCCGGTCATCTCATTGATGTTCCGGTCATCTCATTGATGTTCCGGCCAGCTCTCACTGATGTTCCAGTCATCTCTCATTGATGTTTCGGCCAGCTCTCACTGGTGTTGCGATCATCTTTCATTGATGTTCTGGTCATCTAAGCCCAGAGAAGGATTTCCATCTATTGAAGTTAGGTTGGGGTAGAGACTTGTCTCATAACTGGTACCAAGTACCTTCTCTTTGGGAACTGTGTTGCTCACTTATCATTCTCCTCTCCAAGCTGGGGGAAAAAATGCAGGTTGGTACTTACATCTACCACAGAGGAGCAGGCCTCTTTTATCCATTTTTGGATCAGTGAAGGGGTGGAATGTTGGATTAAGAATCTGCGACATAGCACTCAAGACACTCCTATAAGTGCTCCGTCTCCATCTTCAGCAGCAAGTGAAGAGTTCCAATTCCTATGGTGCCAGTAACTGTCTGATGGCACATGCATCTTGCCTTTTCCTTGAGTATTGATAACTTCCCGCAGCGCCATTTTCCTCAGACCTTAGTGATTTGTTTGTGCCTCTGCACTTTTCCCCTCGCTCCCAAAGGGCCCTCACAACATCTAGCTTGTCATACATCAGTCTATATTCCTGCTCATTTCCCAACACAGTAAAGGGGTTGAATGTTGAGTTAAGAATCAACATCACAGCACCTGTGAAGGGCCGAAATCTCATTCATTGGTGAGTGAAGGTCCGTACGGTTTGTTGCAAGCCTGTAAGTCCTGCAAGTAAGTCACTCGAGTAGGGAGTTTCAAAACAATGTGACTTCTGTGACTGGCTGCTCATAGCAGGACCAGGCATGCCGAGTAGTGACCCCAGAGTCCATTGCTGCCGTTTGGAAACTTCCTCTTCCACACGTACACTTGCCAGGCTGACAGGCATGCATCATCATACTGGACCTCCGTTTGCCGATGGATTTCTATAGGTATCACCCCTTCACTGATCAGAAAACATAACAGAGAGCTTTGGTGCATGTAAAAAGTGGGGTGGCCATCTTTAAAGTGTCATTATGATGTTGCTGTGATCATCTGCACCATGATGTTAATGCTTTACACTGTTGACAACCTTAACAACAATATTGACAAGTTACCTGTCAGTGGCATGGTAAGTAACATTCCTGGGACACAAGGTTTTCATTTCTTCCTCTCCCCCCCCCTCCCCCCCTCCTCTTATTCCTCTTCTTCACGTTCATCAGCTATAAACTCTGGCAGAAAGTTCTGGTTCTTCTGCCAACTCCAAACTTTAGTCTCATTCAAGAACTTAAGTGTTGCATGCACATCCATTTTACATATCTGACTTATTTATATGCAGACTATTGGTTCCTTGCCTCTCAGGCAGGTGCACTCCAGCTTTGAGGGAAACCCCCAGTTAGTCGACTCTTACGACAAGCTTGCTGGGGAGGCAGTGTGTCTGTTCTAGTTTTCCTCACAATTGGGGCCTAGTACCCGCACGGGGAGGTTTACATTTGAAACCCCCCTTGTGAAGACGTGTGGTAATTTTTATGACAACACGTGCCAGTTGGTCTCTAAGATATAGATTTGGCACCATATGCCCAGTAAGTCGAAAGGGTCCTTGACATTTTGTTTACTGTCCTGTATTGCATCTTTTCAGGAACCATCGGATTCTTTGCCTGTTTCTGGTTCGTGTCCAAGATCTACAGTGTTGTCAAAGTCGACTAGAAGAGACCTCTACACTGATGTTTTTATTTTATTTTTCAAGGCTTGTAAATGATCTTTCTTTATTTCCAAACAACGCCATGTGTCTCATATTACACAGGCAGTGATGCAACGGAACAGTGTGTTAGTATATTTTTACATCAGAGTAAACGAGAAGTATATTTCTCCAAACACTGGGTTTTATTGATAATGTGATGGCTGTCTGTACATTTGGGGGAACAAGTTTGTTGTTTGGTCATGTCTTTTCACCAAAGTTATACAGACATGAGGGGGTTTTCTTGTTCTATGTTCAGGATTTTCTCTCTCTCTCTCTTTACGTTTTCTCACTCTGATGTCATGCTTTTTTTTTTTTTATTAACATCTCATCATCTCATCATGTTCCATAGTTTTTGCCTCGTCTTCTTTTTCTCTCCCTCCTCTTTCACCAGCTGTCTGAGCCTAAAGTTCATTGCTGTAGATATCACCCACCTTCCTTCATCTCTGTTATTGATCTTTTCTTTTCGACTAATGGCCCCAAGTGTTTGTAGATCTGTCTGGATATTATCTCTTCTTGGTCTGCCTCATAGTCTGCTCACATTCAGCTCTTTTGTGTAGTTTTCTGTCTCTTTGTTATGTTCTTGCGTTGCTCTCTTCAATAGATCTTTGCACACCTTTAAAAAAAAAAAAAAATTACATTTCAACAAAGAAGACTCAATAGATAGATAATACATGAGCGGCTATTTTGAGGCATCTTGTCAGATGCATGCTGTAGTAACTGTTGATTTATGAAGCAAATGAATCCTTAACTGAACTCCAGAATTGACAACATGTAAAAGTAACCGCCTGTTATACCAGGACAAACACAGGTTCCTGACCATGTCTTATTGTTTGCACAAGTCGGGATGGATTATTCCTGTGGTATTTACCTGATATAGCAAAGTTTGCCAGACAGTAATTTGTGCAGTCGTGTTTGTGTCTTTCTTTGCTCACATTTACAGTGGAGAACAATTGCTTTCATTTTCCACAATTATATTTCTCAACTCCTCTTTTTCTTGACCCAAAGTCGACGAAGGAATGTATGATTCTCAAGTGTCGTTGCCTAACATTGCTACCCTAAAAAGTGTTCTTGCATCTTTCAGCTGTACACTTGGTTTCCAGAGCTACAATGTCTTGTTCCCTTGTAGATTGGATGTTAATGATGCATACTTGCGGATCTCCCAGCTGAGGGAATGTCTTGGGAGGTAAAAGTGACCGGCGTGGTGTGGACCTTATTATCCATCGAGGGCTGATCGATCTATGCATTTAGGAGTGGAGCATCATATGCCGGATTTGCCAGTGGCGGGAAAAGGATCTTTGACTTTTATCTGCATATGAAGATAATATGTTGCTATCGTATACCACAAGAAGAAAAGAAACACACAGCTACTGAAAGGAACAGAATTTTAACACTCAAAATCTCTCTAATTTAATGAGCAAAACTTGCACACCAGAGTAACTTAGAGTTCAACATATCAGCTGACATTCTTTTACACCTGGGTTGTCGACAGTTTTTAGACATACAGGCTTTCCTAAAAACTGATTAAACCCGCCATTCTATTTCTTTTTATGTTTTTGAACAGTATATATATTAACCTTGTACATTTTATGTTTGGTATAACAAAGAACTTATTTTATTATTTTCTATTTCGTGTGTCACATTGAGATGACAGTTGATGTCTACATACCGCTGACATGATGTCATAATGTCACGTAATGTTATAATGGCATGTTTAATTGCTACTAGCTTGAAGTGTCATTAAAATGCTAAATATACGTAGCTGACATAATGTCATAGGTGATACTGATGTCAGTTATGTATTCTCTGCACTATGCCATGTCATTTGAATGCCACGATTGAATTTTGGACATTTCATATGTCATTCTCCTGACAAATGTGGATTGTGGAGGTTGTCATTTTAATGACAAGTACGCACAGCTGAAGTGTGGCATGCTTTTCTTGTAACAGATTTGTGCAGCCGACATTTATGCCACTTCTCAGCGTCATTTATATTTTGTGGTCCATGAATGTCTGTTATAAATATTTATTACTTGTATATTTTGTACCTGATGTTATCAAGAGGGGATAATTCTTTATATTGTTTGGGTTTCTGTTTTTCGATGTTTTTACATGATTGCGGCCAATCACACAAAAGGTCATTAAGTTCAAGATGGAACTAGCAATCTTCTTCGGGTGAAAGCCAGAGTTTTGAAGAGAACTTTCAGACTTGGGTGTAAAAGCCAGAGTTTAAGAATGAACTAGCCAACTTAATTATGAAAGCCAGAGTTTGAGAAGGAACTATCAAACTTAGGTGTGGAAGCCAGAGTTTTTAGAAGGAACTATCAGAATTAGATGTGGAAGTATAATTTAAGGAGAAGCAGGCGAACTAAGTAGTGAAAGCTACCATCATTGAGGAAATTATGGCAAACTACTGAATGTACACATCGCTTAGTAAAATTGCTAACAGCCAACAAATTCTTGGGTTCTGGGTCGGCTGATCTGGTGAACAAATGTCGGATGTATCGTCCGAAAAGTGAAAATGTAGCTACACTGCAAAAAACAAGAAACGGTACAATGCAGTTGCGTCACTCATACAGACCAAAATAAGAAGAAATTTGTGGTTTGGTTGTTGATCTCGTGTGAAGGATATGCCCTTTGGTTAAAGTAGTGTCCTTAAACACTGCTTGTCACCTGGCACCAGGAACCAAGTCCAGTCTGGCAGATGTATTGCATGACATCTGTGTGTTGGTGTTCAGCCCATGTAAATGTGTAGCTTTGATCGTACAACTACTGTTTATCATATTTATTATCTTATGTGTGGGTGTATAGGTGGTGACTGCATGACCTGAACATCAAGGAGAACTGGCTCATAAACAGCATCCTCTCCCGAAAGCTGAGGTATTCTGTCCATGTCCAGCCCCAGGTGGTCTAGAGAGAACGTTGTCCGAGGCTGCCGTTTCTGGAAAACGAGGCACAGGCAAATCTCCGCGAAGGTGGTTACAGAACGCTAAAAAATGCATTAGGCTGTGACAGCACACAGGGCCGGAAAGAAAGAGAGACTTTAAGGCATGCCGAGTAGAGAGCGATGACGTTCTGTAGAGGACGTGCTAATTCACTGAGTGATATGGTTGTGTTCGCTGAGAGACGATCTTGTCTGCGATGGTTGATTGTCATGGGTGTGAGTTCTGTACTTTTTGAGAGAGATAATATATATTTGTATAATGTCTTTGTTGATTGTTTAATTTCATGATTCAGCATGTACAATTTCATGATTTAGGTGCCATTGCAGTAGAACAAATGTAACATTTCTGCTGGAATGTTTTCTTGAACTGGCTGGGGGAAAAAAGATTACACTGTTGGAAGCAAGGGTGGACGCGTCGTTGTCGGGAAATATGGCTGTGAAAGATGAACAGGGTGTTTGTTTTTATTTTTCTGTTTTTGTTTGTGACCATTCCATAAAGGCACTTTACCTTGTTGTTGTGTGTCGCTTGCATGATCATTCAGGTATGCTAGAGGTCATTATAACTAGAGTTCATGTGAATAAAGTGGTTGGTCAGTATTTCCTGTATATGAATAGTTTGCCCACTTAGAGAGAATGATGTTTGATGCCGTAACATACAAGACATACACCAAAAGAGGAGAATGATGTAGAGCACAAGGTAGACTAAGAACAAGAGCGGAGGATAACATCCGGGAGAAACACTACAACAGCACAATCTGTTGATGATCTAGGGGGTCAGAAGAGCAGGAAGCAGAACCTCATATCTCGCTCAACACCCAAAGGGGTCAACTGGGAAGGGAAGAAGAAGATGAGGATTTGTACGAGCCTTGATCAGCTTTCTTCTTCTTCGCATTCACTGGCTGTAAACTCCAGTGGACAGTTTTTGATGTTCGTCCACACCTGGACTCTAGTCTTGTTCCAGAACCTGAGTGTTGCGTGCACATCCATTTCAAATCTGGTCTGGTTCCTCGCCTCTCAGGCAGATGTACGACTTCGAAGAATTCCCCAATTAGTTGACTCCTAGGACATGCTTGTAGCGGAGGCAGTGAGCCTGTTCTTGTTTTTTCCCCCACAGTGGGGCCCCGGAACCCACAGTGGGGCCCCAGAACCCACAGTGGGGCCCCGGAACCCACAGGGGGACTTTATCAACCAACTCATGAATATTTCTATGATCTCTCACTTACATTGACCTCTGGCATACTTTAACCATCGTGCAGGTGACACACAATAGCTGACTCTAACAGTGTGAGCAGTTTGTTGACAGTGTTTGATATCTCCGTACAACTCACAAAAGTCACCACATCTTGTCGGCCACGAGATTTCATAGGGGATTTCCCAGAACACACATGCCCATATACACTTGTCACATTTGGACACACAAACATATTTTTACACATATACTCAGGCAGGGACAGACGCACACATCCAGCATGAATGCTTTTACACACATGCCCATATACAGTCACATTTGGACAAACACATTTGCACACACATACTTAAGTATTCAGGAACACACGTACACATCCAGTACATATGCTTTTACACACACAGGTAAGGACACATACATGTACATACACAAATACATATATTTACATAACACTTGTTCGGCTTTGAAACCAGAGTGTACTCAGTAACTAGATGACTGTTTCTGCTACACACCAATGTCTGTTGTATGTATTCAAAACATATTCTATGTGGGATCTGTACAGAAATGGAAGAAGGCTGTTTGACAGTGGGTGGCATCATATATGCAAAATGGTAGTCAGTGAGGTTTGTGTGTTGTGTTACGTTATGCACATTATACGTTCCTAATATTGTTAATTGATTTTTTTAACGTTATGTATATACTGTATGTGGGTTTCTTTGGTCTGGAGGTTAGTAAATACAATTCTTTATTTCAATCATTGAAGTACTAGGGTTTAGTTCCCACGTTTTGGGTTTATTTTTTTTGGTTGGGGGGGGGGGGGATTTTTTACTGGCATTTGG